GGGGGAAGGCCCCAGCCCGGCCCCCCCCCCCCAGGGCTGGGCAGATCCGTGGGTGCTGCACGATGGGGCACGAGCCCCTTCCCACACCCAGGATTAGCAGAAGAGCTCCCAGGGCACAGACCCACCCTGGGGAGGGAGCCCAGTGCTCCTGCTGGTTTCGGAGGGTTTGGGGAGGGTGGAGAGGTGGCCCAGAGGACAAGGAGCAGAGCGGGGGGCACCACGCAGCACACCCGAGGGCACAAGCAGCCCTGACCCTGCTGTGTGGGTGCCCACCCATCACAGAACTGCCCACCCACCTTTCAAAGGCCATACATTGGGAAAAACATTCCCGAGATGCAGGCTGGGCTCAGGGCGTGGGCACCCACCCCTGCACCCAGGGCACCCTGAGCTCAGCACCCCTCTCTTCACCCCCAGCTTTCAAAACGTGGTTAATTTTAGACTGTGCAACCCCCGAGCAGCCCACGGCCAAAGCGGCCACCCCAGAACAGCAGCAGCCAGCCCGGGTGAGGTGTCCCTTAGGGATCCTGCTCTCCTCGACCCCCCCAGCTCATCCGGAGGGCACAGGGCATCCTGCTGTCCTGGTTTGTGACCAGAGCCTGGTTTTCCTCTCGCACTGCCGCAGACAGCTCTCCCTTCAGCCCTGTCCCTCAGGTTGTGTCACAGCCACGTTGAGCACCGTTCCTACGGCCCCACCCCAGCACCATCCTGCAGGAACCAGCTCCCAGCAAAGCTGTGCTGGGCGAGGGCAGAGGCTTGATCAGGAGGGCTCTGGCTTCGTACAAATGCCCGACTGAGCATCTCTGCATCCACCTCGCTCTGTGGAACTCGAGACGTCACTCACCTCCACACCAAATAAAACCAGGGGATTGATTTCATCTCTCTGGGCTGGGAGCCAAAGCTGCAGTCCTCACCGACAGGGAAAGGAGCGGGGCAGCCGGGAAGGCTGCGACAGCACCAGCCGCTGCCCCAGACACTCCAGGTCACCCCAATTACGCTGCCAGAAAGGAAGAGGGAGCTGCAGCTCCAACCACAAAAATTTACTACCAGCTAGTAAACATGCAGCAACTACCCCGTGCAACTGAAGGGTATCAAACTTTATTATAGATCTCTTTAAAACAGGCTGGAAGGAACAAACAAACATGTCATTGCGATGCAGTGACTGAGTCATCATTTCAAATGCAGACACTGACCAAGCCCCAACTCTCCCAAATTATTTATATAGAGTATGTCCCACCCATGCCCCAAATTGTTCCAATTAAGTGATTGCATTTCAGATCACCCCAAGTGTCTTAACATTAGCTGCTTCTAAACACCAAGATGCACATGTTTTCTGGCAAACAGCTGCGGTATTTTTTTTTTTTGGGTTTAGTTCTTCAATCTCTGGAAAGGAGGAAGGGAAAAACAAAAATCAGGAAAATTGCTTCTTTAAGGTTGCCTTTTTACAGCAGGTACAGATTTCGGCAGGTTTCCCCCCCAAAGCAAGTCTGAAACCCTCGTGTTCAGCTTGGCAAGATGAAGAGAGATCCTGGTGGTCAGAACCAGCCAGACGAGATCAGTCTGAACAAACTGATTTCGAGGCTTTGCTGTCATTTCCCTTTGGGGCCGGTTTCCAGAGGTTTTCCAATATCCTTCCCACGCAGCTTAAGGCCTGGAATGAGACAAAGGAGACGACCACCATCAGCTGCCATCAGCACTTGATCATTCACCTGATGACTTAATTCCTCATATTTTTGCTCTAAGGAAGAGAATATCCAAAAAAAGAAGGCAGGGAACCAGCATTAGGGAGAATCCCGCTTTAGTTTCTAGGAGCACCAGACTAGTTTCAGACAAAACTCCAGTTCTTGCTTGTGCACTGACTATTTTCATAAAAAAACAGGATCTGAACCAGCCTAGGAAAGCAGTGTCAGCACTAGTGGCTGCAAGATACCTTCTCGAGTACCATCAGGCCTTCCTGAGTCTCAGTAGCTCACTGATTTTTTGGGGGAAGCACAGAGGGGTGGTCACCAGGGCATGGCCCCACGCGTGAAGATGAAGAACAAAGGAGAACAAGAGCTCCGAGTTTGGGTTTCAGGCAGCGGAGCTGAGTTTTATCAGAACGTGGCTAAATGACACCACACCCACGATAACCTACAGCCAGCAACTGTTCCTGACGTGGAAAATGTGAACACCTTAAACCCAAACTTCCCTCCTCGGCCCCGAAGACATCACTGTTATTTTTGAAGTCTCCTTTCTTAACTCACCAATGGCTCTTTCGATCTTGCCCATCACCTGGTTATTGGGGATTGCTCTTCCCGATTCGTAGTCAGCGATAACTTGTGGTTTTTCATTGATTTTCTAAAAAGAGAGGACACATCTCAAAAAACTGACTCCATACACAGCAAACACTCAGCACCAGCCCCCCAGGACTCGCACAGAGAAGTACCAGACTCCAATTATGCCAGGATGGAAAGACAAATTGCTACTTCCAGGCTTCCTCCATCACCACTATCGCCTCCCTCCACTATTTGAGTGTCACAGCTGTGGTGACACCCATCTCAGACAGACCTCTACTTTGCTCAGCCTCCCAGGAGGAGCAGTAACATAAATATTGCTGTTCCTTAAGACAGCAGCGAGCTTCTGAACGCCGTGTCAAGCCCAGATGGTGAAAAAAAAAAATCTCATGTTGGTACTGAGTTGATGGGAGGGAAAAAAAAAAGCCTCCTACCAGCTCAGCAGCCGCAGCAACGCTCCGTCTCCAAGCAGGTGCTCAAGGGCTGCACGATAAACCCCTCAAACACTTCCTAGATAACTAATGTTGCCTGGAGATCAGGTATTGGAGATGTTGTGTTCACCAAACTTCATGCTCATGACACCACCTCGCTGTAGTTGCCCACGAGGGGACAGGAAAAGTGTCCACCTTCCCCTCGAGGTGCCTAAATCTGCCTCAGGAGAGCGGGAGGGGAGGCCAGCGGGCCCCAGGCCATACTCACCGTGGCCAAGTCCTTCTGTGTCATGCCCTTGCTCTGCCGGCCCTGCTGGATCACTTTGCCCACCTCCAGAGGAACTCTGTCATGGTGCAGCTCTTCTGTTTCTCGGTCGAGCTTGGCTGTGTTCTTGGTAATAAAGTGTTGTTTGTTTTGGCCTGCTGCCCCTGTCATCCAAAGCAAGAACAAAAAAAAAATAACCAAAAAAAAAAAAAAAAACCCCAAACAAGGACAAACAAAACAAAGCTCAGAGCTGCACCAAGAAGTATCAAAGTGCGTTTTCTAAGCACTCAGCTGCCCAGGATCCCAGGGAGCTTTCAAAGATTTCAGCGTGTCAACATCAGCACAGACCCTGCCCGCTGCAGGACACAGAACATGTCACCATCATCCTGTTAACGCCGCTCTCTACACACAGAGAGCCCTCCCCTTTCTCTACTTCACATCTGGACTTAGTCCAGACAGGTAAGATTTTCTTATTGATTAGGGATTTAATTGAATTTAAACTTTACTCCAGACACATTTGTTTGTGCTACAGCGAACTTGAACCTTGTTTGCTCAGGTATGAGGTAGCGTGAGTGGCTTTTAATCTATTCTCTGGTTGTTTTTTATAAGTAAACTCTACTTATCTTTGCAGAAAACTAAAAAACATGCTGTTTGTTGTGTCTCCTTTTAGTTACAGTATTTCAGTCCTAATCTGAATCCTTTCTCTTAGTTTAGTTGCTGACATTCAATCTCGACTGAGCTGACTAAACCTCGCTCAAGGATCATCTATTTATTTATTTCCAACCATCATAATCTCATCCCTGTGGCGAGAGAACCTGAGAACTTACATTGGACAGGGAACGGGAAATTATTAAAGAGCAATGCCAGAGCAAGCTAAGGAGGCACTGAAATCCTTCGGGTTATGGGATCAACAAGAGAAATAAGCTGTAAAAATGGGGAGTTTAAGTTTTGGGATGACGAAAGCTCTTCCCAGAGCTTTGCAGACACCAGCAGCTCAGCTCCGGGCACCCAGAAACTCGGCGCTGGCTTCAGGGGAGCGCTCCCCGCCCCTGTGCTGCCCCCTCCCCGGTTCTTGGGCCTCTGCAGCCCCAGTCAGGGCGGCCTCGGCCTCAACCGGGGGTGTTGCCTTCCG